TGGTCCTTCTGATTATCCACCTTTTATAATGGATTTTCTTCTGATGTCAGCACAGCGTCTTCTGTCTTACATAGCACGCTTTTCTTCAATACCGACTTGTAGGTCGTCACCACTTCTGACTTCTTCTCACTTTCTCCTGGTTTCTATAATATTCCAGAGGTTTTTGGTTTGGTTTTTTGTGGTTTTTTTGTGTTTTGTTTTGTTTTTTTTTTTTTTGCGATTTTCTGTTCATCTGCGTTTCTTTATACATCTTCGTTTTCCGTCATATTCCAGATGAATTTTTCTTGCTCCATCTGTATTTCTTCCTGCAACATCATCATTTTCAACATATTCCAGACGATTTTCTGTTCATTTGCCGTCGGCCTCCTGGCCGATGAAAGCCGGTCCACTGCTTGGGCTGTCGTCCTTAGGTTGACTGTAAGGCAGGTTCCAGGACCAGGCTCGCCCTCTGTACGTGAGTGCGAGACCAAAGACCGTCCTGTCTTACACCTTCCACAGTGGTGAATCCTCCCTGGCTGGGCTCACCAGGGTTCGTTGTGTGGCGCTGCATTCCATACTCCTTAATTTCTAGAGTAGAAAAATATAAAAATCTTCTTAATCCTAGACCAGGTAGGACTTGAAAGAAGTGGGGGTGTGTGGCGGGTGTGGTGCTGATTCATCACGCTTTTCTTCTCTGCTTATATGTGCTGTGGTTGGATTCCGGCAGCCATGGGTGGTACTGTTTGTGACATTTGACAGAAACAATCCGAAGGGATCATGGATTAGTTGAAGTGTAACCGTAAAGAAAAACAAATATTTACTTTGTTTTGCTTGTCAATGTTTGGCAACTATAGTTTCCGTAACGACAATATTCTCATTAGCTGGGTTAGGGAGTGAAGCTCTGCTCACTACATTGAATATTATTTATCACTACGCGTCAAAGAGTACATTACAAATCATACTAGCATAAAAACACACTGAGTGAAGCTCGTAATTATCGCAATATTAAGTGTACTAACCACCATTTCGAAGTACTAACAGGAGGAAAACATTGTGGTGGTCACTGGAGGGGGCGGGGAGCGTGGGAGTCTTATTCAGGTGTGTGGGTGGGGGTGAGGGGGGGGGCGGGCGAGGCGGGATGGGGGGGTGGGGGGAAGGGATGGAGGGTGAGGTGAGGATTAGGACAAGGAGGAGGATGTAGGATGTAAGACATGTTAGGTTATAACAGTTAGTATAGACACAGCTTTATCACTAAAACACAATTACATTTAACACTGACCAACAATTAAAATGCACTTGGGATGCTGAGAACTTCACAGAACGTTGGGGGACACTGAGAATTATATTAAGCACTGAGCATATTTCTAGTAAAAATTACATACTACCAACGGAAGACGATTGCTTGAGCTGTAAGGTGACACACTAGGACACTTTTCACGCTTATTATACAGGAAATACTTATTACAATTTAGACAATACTTAAACAACGAGCCAGGTGTTATGGCTAACTGAGGGAAGGGCGTGAGTTTAGGTTAAGTATACTGTTACCACAAGGGAAGAGGCGTGAGTTTTACGTTAAGTGCGCTGCCACCATTGTAATGACTAAGCGAGGAGGGCGTGGATTAACGTATAGTTCGCTGTCACCTATAACATGACGAGGAAGGCGTGGGGTAACGTATAGTTCGCTGCCACCATTGTAATGTTACGAATACACACAAGAAGAAGATTACATATTGGTAGAATATTGATAGTATAAGAGTATAAAAGAGAGGAAGACTTTGGCAGCATGGCCGTGATAGATATTTACACTTATCGTATCTTATAAGTCAATACACATCTATTACGTCTTAAGGGCGACTTCTCAAACACCGCTTCGTTACAACTCTTTATTAATTACGAACATGACATGGACACATTAATAACACCTTCTATTGAAGTTACTAGGACATTATGTTTACGTTACTAGGACATCATATTACGTTACTAGACACTGATTCTCGGACACGAACATGAAATGAATACACTTCCCACGTAAGTAACTCATCCCATGGAAAGCTCTGACAAAAACTCACGTGACCTAGGGGAGGCCTAGCAGGTAGTCCTGGGTTGTCTCTATGGGAGACTGCTTAGCTGGGCACCGGTGTGTCGAGGGCAACTCGCTCCTGACCGGAGGCGACCGGAGGCGGCTTGCCTCCGGCCCCTGACGTCTCTCGAGCAGGGCTGGGGAAGTGGTAGCTGGCCCTTCTTGGTTACAAGACACACTCTCTCTCTGTCTCTCTCTCTGTCTCTCGGCAAAGGGAGGACTAGGACGTCCTATATATTGGGAGACGAGCCGTCAGGTTGAGCTGATCGGGGGGGAGGGGGCGGCGAAGGGTCTCCTTACATTTGCCCTCGCTAATGTAGGGTCAGGTCTGGACTTTTTCAGAGACTATAAGTTGTATATTCTGGAGAAATCTGCAGATGGGGCCGTGTGACATGAGAGGCCCTGGTTGATTTGTGGCCCCTTGACTTGGGTTGCGAGGGTTATATTTGACCTGGCTAATGTGAGGTCAGGTCTGGACTTCTTCTGGGATGTAGGTTATTGTGTATATTGGGAGAGAGTGGGCAGGTGCCTTCTTACATGTTTGTTGGGGCCGTGTGACATGGGAAGGGGAGCTAGTTGATTTATAACCCTTGGGCAGCTGCGAGGCTTACCCTTACACTTGACCCCCCTAATGTCGGGTCAAGTCTGGACTGTTTCTGAGATGTAAGCTGTGGTCTGACAACCCATCACTACTAAAACGCCTACAAGTAATGTGGTCACATAGGGAGTTCCGTCGGCGAGAGAGTGGGGACACGTCTGCTTGCCGTGGGTGAAAAACAAAGAGTGACTATTCTCGTGCCTTTGAGCATGCCTGCCGCCCGCAGAACTAGTTACTTTTAAATTCTTAGAATATCCCCTTTCTGTCCTTTATTTTTTGGTGGGAAAGACTAATATTATTTTAATATTTATTTTCGTTTTTTAATTCCTGACACGAACGTCTTTTACGGCTTTCCAGTAATTATGTTAATAATTCGTGAATGCATGGCGCCATTCTCTTTTGTAATTTAATTATTTCCTAAGGACACACGTACAAATTTTGAAATTGAAAACTATCCAAGATAACTTTTGTTAATATTATAGCTGGCTTTTAACTTCGTCAATAGTGTATGAATTAATTTGAAAAAGTACATTTAATTTTCTTTGGCCTTTGGCTGCTTTGGTGCGCAGTGTGAATGCTTTGTTTTAGGTCTCCATGCCTACCTATGTTCCCTGTTCGTCAGATCAGTAATTTTAGTTAAAAATTTTCAGAATATCACAATCGACCCCCTTAAAAAAGACAGCACTGTCCTTATGTGTTGAAAGGAAAATACTATGCATACAACCTTCCTAGAGGAGACATTGCTTTATTAACCGCAGCTCTGGTTCATGATAGCTTTTCCAACAGATGACATATATATATATATATATATATATATATATATATATATATATATATATATATATATATATATATATAGATATAGAGAGAGAGAGAGAGAGAGAGAGAGAGAGAGAGAGAGAGAGAGAGAGAGAGAGAGAGAGAGAGAGAGAGAGATTTAAAAAGGACCTCAACAGATAATCTGTAATACCCCTGTCCTTATATTTCAGTCGTTAAACGTAAATGAACAAGTACATAAAAACAATCGTGGATTACATAAAACGGTCAAACAGTAGGCTGGGTAATCGGAGACAGGGGCGTATCACTCTCTCACACACACACACACACACACACACATATACGCCAGTCACTCCGAGGTCAATGAAAATTCGTGAAAAACTGATTACCGAGAGACAGTTATGTGCAATGATAGTTGTATCTGCTATTCTCCTCACTCGGGAGGTGGGAAGAGTTTACTGAAAATATATTGATGCAAATTCCTACAATAATATAATTCCAAGGAAATACGAAAGAAGAAGCAAAATAAAAACATCAATTTTGTATATACAAATCCAATGAAATAATACAACAGCAAGAAAAAAGACAAGAACACTTTAATATACACAAAATACAACAATACAACAGAGAGGAAAATAAATGGTATCAATATATAATTCAATATAACAAAAACAACACATTCAGCAAAGAGAGACAGATGCTGTATCACATCAAGACTCACTTAAATCAACATAATACCTAGCTATTCAGATCCAGTTACCTTTGTTTTATAGTCGAACATAAACACGTAAAGTCACCCACCCACCTACACACACTTTCCATCAAAACGACCCACATCATCACTCAGACAGACACACAAACAAAAGAAGTTAAATTATAGCCATTAATTCGAAACTCGGTCAAACCACAACAAATCTTGACTCACGCAAATTCAGACAGAGAGTGAATTAATATTATCAAAACAGTGGCTACAGGCACAAAGAAGTTCAGAGGAGTTGGTTCATTAATTAGAGAAGGAAGGTTGGCGGGAGTTAGTGGTGATGATGGTTGCTATTGGGGGAAGTTCTTGGTTTTCTGCCTGGTTGAAATGTTGACGTGGGTGGGGAGATTAATGCTTTTTTGTGTGTGTACTTTCTTGTCCAGTGTTCTCAGTTTAGACACAGTGGTGGAGAATGATGGTAGGTGTGTGTGTGTGTGTGGTAATAAGTTTATGCATTAATTTTTACATATTAGAGTCTGAACGAGATTTATGCTACTTGTAACATTAGGAAAATGCTCATAAACTTTCAACTTTCCTTTGACAGCTTTTATGATACTAAACACTAAAGATAGATGGTTAAATTATTATTCTTTGTGTGAACACAAGAGAGTGATTGTAAGATATACAACAGTGTTCAAGAGCTGATTATTATTGACTGTGTTAAGAGGCATCAATAAATAACATAACATACGCGCAATACATCCATCAATAAGATCAGGAAAGGCGAAAATTTGTTTAACTATATAGTCTCTAACAGTCTAGAATAGCCTCCAACAGTCTTTAACACAGTGTTTATTCCACAGACACTATGTACTCTGGGGAGGCGGCTATGTTGGTAGAAACACAACACATCAGCGGCGTGTTCGACTGTTACTTCGACATCTACCACTATCCGTTCGACTCCCAGCATTGCTTCGTCAGGCTCCTCTTCGGCCGAGAATTGGGCGAGTACATAACGGTACACGAGGACAGTACACTAGTGAGGTACCTGGGGGCCGAGGCTCTACCCTCACACCTGGTGGATAACTTCACTGTGAGGAGCATTCAGGAGGCTCAGGGCACAACACTACAGGTGAGTGTTGGTGTGACGCAGTGGGGTCCTTCTGGGCCGACCCTTCCCCCTGTTTTCTTTTGTTCTATGTATTTTCACTGAAAATACATTGTGTTTTACATCTTCATTATGTTTCAGTGTCTTAAATAAATACAATTCTTACACATTCCTCTGTAACTTGATACCAACATTTGGGTAAATACGGAAGTTCTATTCGCTATATTTCATTTTGTATCTGATTTTCAGCTAAGCACAATAGTTTCACTCACTATTTCTATTAATTTATTTTTAAAAATAACCTATTCATGATCGTCTCACTCTCTGTTTTGTAATGGATTCCATATCACAAATTGAAATCATATTAATGTAGTACAGTGTTCATGTCAAAATGAACTATTTTATTGGTGTAAAAATAATTATTGTATTGTTATAATATTTATAACTTTTGTAAGCCCCAGAAGGGGATGGCAGAGGTGAAGGGCGGGAGTTATATACACTGTACTATCCTGTCCTTTTGATGTAATAGTTTTTTATTGTCAATAAAATGTTTCAATTTCAATTTCAATTTCAATTTCAATTTAGTGTCGATATTGACTCGTTCAGAAAGAGACGCGGACTTTTTGAGGGGACTGTATGTATAATATGGACGCGAAGTAGTACCTTAAGCTGTGTATTCTTATATTACTCTATTAATTATGTATAGTAAAGTATTACAGAACAGGTATTAATCCTATGTAATAATTCCCTTTATTATGCACCATGTTATGTATGTGAATTATCATATTTACATATTATGTATGCAGCTTGTGAATGCTGGCACCTGTACATGCCAGCGCGGAGTGATACAGAGAGTTGAGATCGCTAGTCCTTATGGTGTGGAAGCCCACGTCTATTTGTTTCCTCTGTATATCTCCCGTACGAGAATAAGAACCTATTTTCAAGATAACAAGTGTTTGTGTATACCCTCAGTAGTGTAGAACATTTTGGGGGTATCAAAGACAAACATAGATGGCGCAGTGAGATTTCTCAGTGAGATTCAGAGTGAACTTAGCTTTCCCGCCGGACTGTGTTAATGGCGTCTCATCTTCAGCTTCGCCAAGGATTTACAGCCAGACTACAAGCCTCAGGACTTACAGTGTTGTGAAGTGCTATGCTGTGTACAGTGCTGTGCTGTGAAGTGAAGTGTTCTGTGAAGTGCTGTGTTGTGTATTTTAATCAGAATTGTCTTTGCAAACTGCAGTCAGATGACTGAGGGAGCGGCCCAGCAGTAGGTCCCCTCCCGCCTACGGTCATTGGGTAACTGATACGATACGAAGTCTTTAGTTAAGAGGTGAAAGAAGATTATTAGGGATTGAAGGAAAAGTGGTGAAACTGAAATACAGTAGGAGTAGAAAGAATCTGGGCTCAACCAGGTCGCTTCATCTTTCTTATTGGTGTTTTGTCTTTGTTCTGCTCCCTTGGGTCGTCAGACCTTTGTATTAATATTGGTTTATTTATATAATGCTGCTTATTATTATTATTTTTATTATTGTTGGAGTTAGTGAGCCCGCCCAGGTCCTTGTGTAACTGGGAGGGTAGTCACATTTTTTTTTTTTTTTTGAGGTGTTAGTTATATGTTAGTTATGTTAGTCTAAAAGTACACTGTATGGAGAGGCCTGCCAGGTTCTTAGTGGAGCTGGTTGGTCACTCTCATCTTTTATTCTCTCTATTAATGTTTTATATGTATATTGGGACAGGAGATGGTTCAATTACTTTCTTCCTGGCTGATTTAAACCAAATGTGTTCTTGGAATTCTTCGTTGTCTATATTATCTATCCAGTTTTGATATGTTTCTGTGTTAAGTTCAGTCACTTTTTTCCAAATATTTACAGCTTTGTTGTGTATATCTACATTGGTTGCTAAGAGGTTTGCTCTCTTGTGTAGCTGTTCATTATTGATGTGGTCTGTATATTTTATGTTATATATAAATCTGAGGGCTATATTTTGTACTGTTTGTAACCTTTTAATGCACGTTTTACTAAGGGTGTTCAATGGGATGGGTGGGTAGTCCATAATTGATTTGACAAGGGCAATATAAATCTTTCTTTTGTTATTAATGCTAAGGTTCTTAAAGCGTTTTATTTTTGATAATCTTATTCTTGCCTGTCGTTCTTTATTTTTTAAGTATGTTATATATCCTCTTTTTGTTAGTTTTAATCCAAGCATCCTGCCTTCAGTGTCGTATGGGTATAGTTCCTGGTCCACTATTACTGGACTTGTTTTAATCTTGGCTATTGGTATTATCTTGAATTTGTTCTTATTTGTCCTGATTTTCCATTTTTTCTCAAAATCATTTATGTTTTTTATCGCTCTTACCGTGTAGAGTGCCATAATTGAGTTGATTTTCCTGGGTATGATACTATTTGAGTAATATCATCAGCAAACATTACATATTCGCTAAAGGGGGTAGGTTGAGGTGTGTCTGAAGTATATATTGTATATAGTGTTGGAGAAAGGCATCTTCCTTGAGGTACTCCACTCTCAAGATTAAACATAGTTCCCATAAAGTTTCCAATTTGAATTTGTGCTCTCCTATCATCTAAATAGTTACACAATATTCTTAGCAAGTATTCGTTAAGTCCCAGTTTTAATATTTTATATTTCAAGCCTAAATGCCAAACTTTATCAAAAGCCTTAGAAACATCCCTTAAAATTATATTGATCTGGTTACCTTTGCTTTTTTCTATTGCAAGTATTTCCGTTATTGTAGCTATTGCAGTTAGGGTATTTCTATTGGGCATAAATCCATGTTGTCTGTTGTTAGTTTTCCCATGTTGTGTTAAAAAGGCTATAAGTCTTGAATTTAATATTTTTTCCAATAGTTTCCTGGTAATTTCTAATAAAGATATTGGCCTGTAGTTTAATATTTCCTTATTGTCCTTACCCTCCTTAGGAATAAATATCATTTTAGCATATTTTAGTTTGTCTGGAAAGTAACCAGTTATTACATGCGTTATAAATGTTTAATAGTGTATTTAAAATGTTTTCAGGTAGATTCATGATCATATTTCGTAATACCTGTGGAGCCCAGGGCTTTTTTCCTTAAATTTCTTGACAGTGCATCATTTCTCCCATGGTTATTATTTGATTATTAGGTAATAAGTTATAGTCTATATATTGCCTCTTTGGGGTGATTCTATGTATTTGTCTTCCCATTTCTTCTTCTATCCTTTCTTCGTGTTCACTATCAAAATCTTCATTTTCCTCATCTGATATTTTAAAACTTTTACCCATTCCCTTTTGAATGCTGACTCTTGTTCATTTTCCTCGTGCAATTTTGTTCCATTTTTGGTCTTTAATGTATGGTGTTTTTTGCTTGTTGTGCCCCATCATCTTGTTTATGGAAGTCCAAAATGTTTTTGAATCTTTAGTCATGTCAGCCGCCATTATAATATCATTCCATTTTTTATTGTTTGCTTCCTTACATGCGTCTCTTAATTTTATCTGTATTGCTATCTGTGTCGTATAAAGCCATCTGTTACTGCCGTGTCTTTCCATATACCTGTTTATTTCATTGTAATAGGTCTGGATTAATTTAACTTCTTCTGGTAGTCTGTTGTTGGGTAATGTTCTAAAGTGTGAAGTAGGAGTGTGTTTGGTTATAGATGTTTTTATTGCTGAGTGCAGTCTGTCCATTTCTGAGTCTATATCTTCTGTTGTTTTCCCTTGTAGGTTAATCGAGTGGTGATTACTGAAGTCGTCTTTGAAGCTGTCCCAGTCTGTTTTACTCATTTTCAGTCTCTTTTTTATTGGTATCTGTATGGGGCTTGTTGACAGTGTTAGTATAATTGGCAGATGGTCACTGCCTGTAAGAGGTCCCTGTATTATATGGTAATTGAAAAAGGCTTTGTTGTTGGTAAAAATTTTGTCTGGTGTCGATTGTGTATTGTGATTTCTCCAGGTTGGAAAGTTAGGACCCAGATGATTGATTTTCCCTAAATTTATTAATTGATTAAGGGCGTTTCCCACGACGTTATTATTTGTATTGTCAAAAATCCTATGTCTGGCGTTAAAGTCTCCTAAGATGTACATCGGATGACTATTGTTAGCCAATTTTAATAGGTCTTCTATAGGTAAGTAGGGTCGTCTCGGTGGGAGATAAGTAGTAGCAATAATTACGTCTCCTTGAGTTGTATTTATTTTTATTGCTAGAAATTCATCCTGGAAGTCATCAATTAGTTTAAATTTTAAGTTTCTTTTAACCGCTATCGCTACTCCGTCATTTTTCTCGCCCGATTTATTTCTTTGGTTTACATAATAGTTAAAGAGTTTTATGTTGTTGTTTTCTGTCTCACCGTGACTGTTTATTAGTATAATGTCAGGGTCAATTTCTTGATATATATTACTTAGGTTAATTCTCTCGGTCTTCCAGTTTCTTACGTTGTGTTGTATTATTCTTAAAGTTCTTACTGTTTGTCTATTGTCCATTATTTCTTATACTTGGATTGTGACTGTTGAAGTGGAGACCTATCATCCTGTTTCCCGCTTCTGACTCTTCTAAACTCTGACGGGTCTACTATTTTAAAGTCTTTGGTCGTAATCTTTAGTTTGTCCGTAGTAATTAGTGACCAGACATAATCTTCACTTAGGGATTTTTCTTGATATGTCCACTTGTATATCCCTCCTTCACAGTTTTTTACTATTGTCCCTCCTGTTGGTCTCGATGTTGGGATTCCATGTTTTGTTGTAGTGATAACTTTTAATCCAATTTCTTCAGCAGATTCAGGTTGTATATTGTGATCAGTTTCCATCTTATCTTCTCTCCTCCTACTCCTTTGTCTTATAGTCTGTCCTTTTGTTATTTCTATCTTCTCTTTGTCACTTCTAGTCATTTGTCTGGGATCTCTATCAGTCGCTTGTGTTCCTTGTGTATCAGCTGTTGCTCCTTGCTCAAACCTTTGTTCGTCTAGATGTAGTCTTTCTCTCAGTTCGCTTGCATATGTTGCCTGAAATAGTTTTTCGGATTGTGGATTCTCTGGAAA